TGGTGTGAGGCTCTGGGTGCTGTTCCCAGCACCACAGAAATAAATGAATAACTAAATAAATCTAGTATTCCATGAAAATAACTAAGGAACTCAGTGGTGTTTTACAAGGTGTCAATAATGGGACCAAGAATTGCAGCTTGTTTTGTGTCTCATGGGATACATACCCACTATAGAGAGAATGTTTCTTGAGGATCTCCTCATGTGTTGCTTAGGGCTGTGTTCTTCAGTATATACCTTCTACCTTCTAATAAACAGTAACATTACAATAATATCACAACACAGTTGAGTCATTGAAAATGACTTGAGATATTGGGCTAGGCCAAAGTAAATAGCATATTATTATTCCTTGAATCCAAAAAATGCTATGTATTTAATTCTATTTAAAGTAAATGGTACATATTTGAACACTTTGATGGCATGCTGCTTAGTAATAATGTTATTCCGATCTTATGGGTAAATACATATGGTTCTGGGGAAAACCAACTTATGGATAACATCTATGAATCTTCTGTGTGGCACCTATTAATGACAAGTTTCAAAGAAATAATTGCAAAACCATTTTTAGTTATGTGTTCTCTTGAGTGTATGTATGTGGTACACTTGTCTATGGCATGTGTGCACCTGCATGTGTGTGCACTTGTCTATGGCATGTGTGCACCTGCGTGTGTGTTGGCAGAAACCCAAAGAGGTGTCCTCCTCTGTCAATCTCTGGCTTCACTGACTCATTCCTTTGAGACAGCATCTCTTACTGGACCTGGATTTAGGCTGTCAGGCAGCAAACCCCAGTGATGCTCCTGTTTCTGCACCCCACAACACTTGGCTTATAGGCATGCATGTCAGGCCCTGATTTAAAAGTCACCCACTAAAGTGGGTGCTGGGGTCCAAACTCACACCCCCATGTTTGCACTGCAAGAGCAACCCTTCAATAAATTATTTCTCTGACCCTATTATTTTTCTTTTTAATATCAAGGACAACATCATCTTGTTGAAATAAAACAGAAATGTTAACCTCTCTCCTCTCCCTCTCATTGTGTGTGTGTGTGTGTGTGTGTACTCTGTTGGAAAGAACCAATAGAAAATGCTTAAGAATGGATATCAAAAATATTCTGCTGTATCATGTACTGTGTCAAGATAGTCATTATGTTTCTGTATAGTGATGATTCTATGTCTGTCGGGTCTCAGGAGGTTATTGGGAAGTTGATCATGCTGCTCTTTCTATGTCTCATCATTCATCATCACCACCTGACACTTATTTCGATGCAGAGAAAAATAGCCCTCGAGTAAACAAAAGAATGCCAGAAACGGTGCTCAGTATCTTGCTTGCCCCAGAACCTGACTTCTTTAAGTAGTTACTCAGAGGGGATCAGCGTTCCATCATGGCCTTTGAGATGTTTCAAGACTCCTAGAAAACTTTGCAGGAATGGCTTTCACCTTTAGCTGACAGGAAGGAGAGGGTGCATTAGAAATAGCAGGAGCTTGCAGAGCTCACTGAGACAGGCATCCCAGGTCTTTCTTGTCAAGTTGTCTTATTTAACCCTTTAGTCAGTCATGATAAATTCTGAGCCGGCAGACTTCATTTTCCTGAGCTGGAGCTAGGTTATAAAACACACAGCCATCCCCAGATCTGGCCTCTAGTAATGTTTGCTTCTACAACCAGTCCTTTGTTTTTAATTTGTTAGTATGTGACCAATCAGCTCAAGTAAGGATTAGAAATGTCTGTTAATGGTTCATTAATCACATTCAAGAGATCACAATCTTTGAAATTTGAGGATGGAAATTTTAATTCTCCTTTGGACTGGCAGTCAGGTCTGTGCCTCTGGGGGAAAGCACTTCCCTTTGCGCCTTCGTTGGCTGACACAGTTTCTGGGGCCATTTGTTAATTATCCCACTTGATATGAAGTCAAATTGACTTCGAATGCTGGCTTTCAGGGAAAGGAATTGTAGAGTTCAATTAATTCAGACTCGGCACATGTGTAAAATAAGCATTTCTGTTTTCTGTTTTCTACGATTGCTCTCATTTCCTCAGGAGCCCTTCTGGGGGATGAGATTAGACATGGGGCCTGGGAGCTGCCTTATTTAACACGAACAGGTGTGGCTCTCTTGATTTGGGGAAATAATCACAGTTTCTGTTTTTCCAGCTTCCTCTGCTGCTATCCAACACTGAATTGAGAGGAGAGTTCAGGATCAGAGGTTTGATCTGTCTGATCTCACGCAGTGGTGGAGGAGGTCAAGCAGTGACAGTACACTTGTGGAACCTCATTGATTCTTGCTTGGGACAGATTGTCAGGATACATAAGGTCCAGCTCATCGCCTGGTTCTCCCTGATGGAATTTGTCTTCTAGACATTTGCTCTCAGTATAGAATCCATGCAGATTTTGGTTTTTATTTCTACTTCAAATTCTTGTCTACTTGCTGGCCTCAGTATGTCTATACTTTTACTGTGAAGGTCTGCAAGAAATTTTGCATGCCTTGCCTTTTGCATATAAGAGTAAGGAAATACTGCCTTAGACTCCTTTTCCTGCTTTTTCACTTTCACAGATTTTTTTTAATTATGTGTATATATAGGGTGTGGAGGTTGGTATGTATGTGTGAGTGCAGGGGCCTTTGGAGACTAGAAGCAACAGATCTCCCTAAAGCTGGAGTTACAGGTAGCTTAGCATCACCCGATATGGGTGCTAGGAACAGAACATTAGACTTCTGTATATCAGTGCACGCTCTTAACCACTTAGCCATCTCTTTGGGCACAACTCTTCTTTCTTGCTAATCCTCTTATGATATTAAATATGCATGTAGACTGTGTTCCTTATAAGGCTTCTGCTGGAGTCATGGGATAAATCGGTTCTTGGGAACCATATTTGTTGGGTATATCTATACTCCCTTATTCTCATTTTAGATTTTTTTTCCCATGAAAGACAGATACCATGGCTTCCTTTCCTTGGGCATCATGTGTTGTCATTCCCAGGACATATCGTTAAGAAACTATCTGTGGTCTCCCTGGATTCACTGGCTCTTGATTGATCAATATTATATATCAGTAGACTTTTAAAAGTGCCGTGCCTGCCTTTTCTTTAACGGCTCAGCTTAGGGAAGGATGACCACACCATACTAGAAACTAGTAGGAAATAAAAACACAATGCTTTAACATTTTTTTTAAAGCATCTTGGTTACAAGTAGATCAATGGTTGTGAACTCTGCCAAATAGTAAAAATATTAAAAATCAGCAGGCCTTTCTGTTCTTAAGAGGTTAATGTTTACACACCATAGAAAGAATGAATAAAAACACTGGGGTATTGGTCGGCCTGGTGATGGGAGCAGTTTGAGCAAATTGCTCAGTGCCCATAAATTAGTCTCACACAGCCAATGCTCTTTCTTCTTCCTATACTGTTGATTGATTGTGTGTGTGTGTGTGTGTGTGTGTGTGTGTGTGCGTGTGTAGCCATGCCAGTACATACAGGTGGAGTCAGAGAACAACTTGCAATGAATCAGATGTGAGTTAGAAGGAATTGAACATGGATCAATGGGTCATTGCCTTGCTGCCCCATGGAGGCGCCTCAACTCACGGACCCCTAACATTTAAAATTTGTATTCCGAAGATAAAAACCCAGAAAAAAAACATGTAATTTATTTAGTGTTTGTAGTGTTGTATGCAGACGTGTTTGTGTTTAGTTTAATATAAGCTTTCTTAAAGAATAATGAATTGTCTTCTTCAACTTCCTTATGCTTTTCTGCCTTGTGATGGGTTCTGTCACAATACCTGAGCTATTGTGAGAGGGCTCCCTGAGAATGGTTTATGTTCCTTATTACTCAGAATGATTCCTTGCAGATCAGCAGTGATAACAGAGAACACCCAGTCCTTTCTGCCCACCCATACCAATACCACATTCAGAGTGTCCCTGGGGTCACTTTTATACACATTTAAAGCTTGTAAGGGGAAAAATTGGAAAATTTGGTCAGATCTATACAACTTGCTATTTTTAATTTAATACCAGATCTATCTAAATAGTGTACCCCAAACTTCAAAGAATGGAAACACAACCCACATAACCAAACTTCCTCCCCAGGTCTAAGGTTCTCCACACCTCTGAAATTCCTTTCTTCTCTGGTTCATGTTCCTCTGCCTATGCCTGAAACCACCCCAGGGTGGCGTTGCTTTAGGAAAGGGCCCCTGAACCATTCTCTGTCTTGCTCCTCGTCCTCTTCTTTCCTCCACTTCCCCTCTCAGTCTCCAAATACAAAAGAAGTTCATGCCTATTTGTTTATTTGTTTTCTGGCAACTGAACTGGAATTTTGATCAAATGAGACTTTTTTGGGTCTGTCAGGAGGCCAGCAGTAGGTATCCCGTGCTCCTTTCAACTTCCTGTTAAAAAGGAATTTACAGACTGGAAGGAAAGGGAAAAGAAAGCCAGAAACTTCAAGGGAAGGTACAGTATGTAGACTTCCTGCTTCTGGCCTTACCTTCTCCATGGAAAGCAAATATTCCAGGTAACAGATTTCTTAATCACCATAAAAAAGAATTCAGTTTGGGATTTGTGCTGGCTCAACTGAATACTCTGTTAGTTGTGCACTTTGGGGGAAGTGAGTGCCACTTAAAAGCAGCTTAAGAAAGGTATATTTGCCCTGTGGAATGCTGATATACACTGTAGGATACTGTGCATGGACATCAAGAAAGGACATCACACTAGTCTTCCTGGACATCCTTGTTCAGACTCTTCAGTTTGAGTCACTATGGATACCTATTTTCCATACCAAGCCCAAGTCCTTTTGCCTTGATGTCTCTGGAAGTTGTCTGAGGCTCTGGAGACATTCACCAGAAGGAGACGGCTGCAGGACACTTCCATACTGGTTGCTGCTCAAAGCGGCAGTGGTCACCTCGGAGGCACTGCAGGTGACCCAATCATGGTGGCATTTGCTCAAACTCTGCAGTGCAATTCACTAATGATTATCCTGCTAGCACGGGCACACCTAAAACTCCCTTTGTCTTTTCTTCTCTTCATTTCCAGCCTGGATGTGTAAATACCACAGAAGTGGACATTAAGAAGTCATCCCGAATGAGAAACCCACACAAAACACGCAAGGTAAATAGATGTGTGTCCTGTGGTCTTGCTGAAGTATCTACTTTCAACACATCCATCTCAAAAAACCCTCCACCATGTCATGAGCATACGTCACCCTGGGATTCTACCCTGATAATTCCTTTTCTAGGTCGATGTAAGCAACATATACCTCTCCTTATAAGATCCCAATGGCAAACCAACATACATCCCACTAGAGTTTGCCCTGGAGAACCAGTCAATCTTTTGGGCTGCCTTATAGAACATGGTTGAGAATCTACTTACACTGGAGAGTCCTCCACCCAGTATGGATGACAACTTTTCCATGACTACATAGATGGATTTCCCTCAGTTAACTTTCCCAGCCTGGGTACTCTAACATCTCCATAGACCCTGTTTTGGAAGAGTCTAAGTACAGTCATGGCAAATTGCTTACAAATGGCTGAGTGGTACAGGAAAGAATCTCAGATAAGGGTACTGTGACCCCACCCCCCTCCACTCTCTTTGAGAGGACTCGACAGTCAGCAGGCTCACTGGTAATTAACTCTTGCAAGCAGCCACCACCGAGTTTCTGTAAATGGTTGCCATGTTTCTTGGAGGGCCTTGCTCTACAACACAGTTGGAGGTAGAAGGGTGATGCCATGGGACTGTGGCAGGAGGTGAGAAGAAAGCTAATCTTCATTTTACATCACAGGGTAGCATCCTCCTTGAGACTATCAGACAGGTACAGGAGATGGACCTGGTGGGGAAAGATGCTATCAATGAGAAAATATAGTATTTATGGAGGGACTGTCTTCAGGAAAGGGGAAGTCTAAAATATGATTATTACAGAAAGAGTAGGAGGCTCTCTTCTTAGCAGCAGCATTTTTGTGACACAGCCACAGGTGTGGGCAGCACTTTCCAGTCTGCAACAAGAGAAAAGCTGTCCTGATTATGAAGCACTGTGCCCGTGCATCACTTCTTAATAGACATATTAACTATATCTTGATTAATGTCATAATTAATAATTATATAATATAGCATATATTATATATAATAAATAACATATATATAGTTTTGGGATTATAATATAATTACACCATTTCCCCTTCCCTATCTTCCTTTCAAACCCTTCCAAATTTCCCCCATCCCATGTTCTCTTTCAAATCCTTGGACTCTTTTTTAAATTGTTAAAGTGTGTGTGTGTGTGTGTGTGTGTGTGTGCATTCCTTAATATAAAAGTACAACTTGCTCAGACTGTATAATGTTACTTTTATGGGTATGTTTTCAAGGTGGACCATTTGGTATTGGATAACCAATTAGTGTGCTCTTTCCTGGGGAAAGTCCTTCTCCCATTCTGGGAGTTCAATAGTTGCCAATAGTTCTTTGTCTGAGATTGAGGCCTCCATGAGCTTCCCCCTTTCCATGTTAGTTTGTTTAATAGTTCTTTCTGTAGGAACTGTTTAGAAAACTTTGCTGCTGAGATTTTGTGGGTGTAGCTTTCCTGGCATCTCCAGGAGACAGCGGCTTTTCTTAGTCTTAAGGACAAATTCTCTTAGTCTTAGGAACAAATTTCGTAGCCCTTTCTTCTATTCTTAACTCCAGAATTTCGTGACTGAAGCTGCCAAGTTCTGTGCTTGTTGGAACTGAAACTTGTCTCCCTCATTCAGCAACATTTTAACCAGTTTTCTGCCTTTGGTTGTTATCTTTACTGTCTAAGCTTGGCTGTCCTGGAACTTGCTCTGCAGACTAGGCTGGCCTCAAACTCAGAGATCCACCAACCTCTGTATTCCTAGTGCTATGATTAAAGGGGTATACCACTACACCCTGCTCTAAGCTTTTCTTGAAATCCTTTTCACAAGTTAAAAACTTAGCTGGGTGGGTTCTTGCCCTGAGATCACCATTCCATTTATTCAATTTCTTAATTCATTTATCTCCTTGAACATGGTATTTTAGCTCTATTCTACTTCCTGGTGCTCTTTTTCTCAATCTGTACATTTTGTATTTTTATTTGCTCAGCTTGTTTCTTTTTATTATATGTCTTCATTAGAGTTGTCCCTAATAATCATATAACAGAGTCTATATTGAGATTTCCTCTGCCAATGGAATCAATATAAAACTTTTCAATTTAGTCTCAGGTGGACTCTAAACCAAGGCAAAAAGCAGCCCCATTCCCCACCTAAATATAACAACAGCAATCTCTAGTCTATATGCTAATATTCTTTCCCCCTGAAATCTCTTGAGCCAACACCACACAGTTATTTAAACTCTTAGCACCACTGTCTTCCATGCTCCTACTAGTATGGCCCATTAAGCAGTGCTTAAAGCATTTCATTGCTTTCCTAACCCAAGATCCTAAAGTCCATATTATTCCCAATAAAAACATGGTCAGGCCTATCACAGTACCCCAGTCCCTGGTACCAACTTTTGTCTTAATTAGAGTTTCTATTGCTGTGAAGAGACATAATAACAATGGCAATTCTTTAAAAAGAAAACATTAACTGAGGTGGTGGTTTACAGCTTCAGAGGGTCAGTTCATTCTCATCATGGTGGAGCATGGCAGCATGTAGGCAGACATGGAGCTGTAGAGGTAGCTGAGAATCCTATGTCTCACAGGCAACAGGAAGTGGTCTGTGACACTGAATGAAGCTTAAGCAAAAGAAACCTCAAAACCCGCCCCCACAATGACACACTTCCTTCAACAAGGCCATACCTATTTCAACAAGGCGACACCTCTCAATAGTGACACTCCCTATGAACTTATGGGAGGGACAATGACATTCAAACTACCATATGGGCCATTTTGAGAAAAGTTATTTTTTTTTAGTTTTTAATGTATTATTTGAGAATCCTTAAATGTATATATGTGGATAATATGTTTAGATCACATCCACCCCCTACTCTTTTTTTTTTCAACTCCTTGCAACAGATATAGATTAATACAGAGGCTTTCACTTAGTCAACAGCAAGAAATTGTAGAGTGGTCAACACTAAATGGGACATTAGTTTAGCCCCTACTGTTCCCAAGGCTCAAGGATCATCATAGAAGAGGGAGCAGAAAGGATGTAAGAGTCAGAGGATATGAAAGATTGCTATGACACAATCAGCAAGACAGAAGAGGCCCATTGCACACAGGAACTCACGGTGGCTCTGCCAGCATGCACATGACTGTATAAAATCAAACCAGCAAACATTCCAGCATGGATGGGGGAAGGGCACACAAAGTAACATGTAGTTGAGGCCTATTGGCAATTGAAAGCTACTAGGGATATGAATGTCTGTTTTTAATTATTTGTTGTTAGGTGATAAAGTCTCATGTGTCCCAGGATGGCCTTGAACTCACTGTGTAGCTGAATATGACCTTTTGATCCTTCTTCTTCCACTTTCTGAGTGCTAGGATCAAGGATGTGTGCCACCACACCTGATTATATATAGTGAAGCAGACGCTGGGCAAGCACTCCACCACTGACCATTCCCAGCCCCAGTGAAGAAAGAGTGCTTTCTCATTTGTAAAAAATATGTATGCACACACCATACACACACCACATATATACGCATACCTTACAGATAGAACATATACACACCATATACACACCACACACACACACCATACACACAGCATGTTGACTGAGTTTTCTGTCCCACCTGGTCCTGCCTGGTCAGGCAGTTATTCAGTCACAAAGAAATACACAGAGGTTTATATTATTTATAAACTGATTAGTTAGCCTATTAGCTCAGGCTTCTTATTAACTCTTATAACTTATATTAGCCCGTTATTCTTGTCTGTGTTAGCCACATGGCTTGGTACCTTTTTTGGCGAGGCAGTCACATCTTGCTTGTTCTGTGTCTGGCTTCCTCTGTGTCTGGGTAATGACCCCAGACTGAAACTTTCCTCTTCCCATAATTGTCATTGACATGCCTCTACTTCCTGCCTGGTGGCCATCACCCAGCCTACACTTCCTGCCTGGCTACTGGCCAATCAGCATTTTATTACAAATAATACAAGTAACAGGATTAAAAGAAACATTGTTCTACAGCACACTCACACCCACATAGAATACATGCACACACGCGCATGCACACACATACACACACCCATCTCTAGCCAGCACCAGTCATTCTAAGAATCGCCTAGGGATTGGTATCATTGACAAAGAACATTCTGTGCCTCAGAAGACCTTCTTTTCTGTGGTTTTAGCCTCCTGCAACTCCAGCATTCTTCTAAAGTGGGTGTTCCTACATGAAGATGAACCAAAACTAAGGTTTTGGTTTTTTGTTTGTTTGTTTGTTTTTTGAGGTTTAGGAACCTTATTTCATGTTGTTGTTTCCTTCCTTCAAAGATCCCAACATAGCCCAAGTACTTTTTCTTTTGAGGTAGTTTCCCTTTATGTTAGAACGGAAAAAACACAGAAAGAGTCACAAAGTCCATTTAGATGCAACTAGCAAGGATTTTGCCACTCAGAACTCTCTGAGACAAAGAGCAAAGGCAGTCCACAGCGAGCCCAGCTGTGTAGACACTCCTGGTTCCTTTCATCTACTCCTGGCGAACCCTCGGCTCACAACACTAGTGCAGCCAAACAGAATTCAAAAGTCAGTCAGCTCTCTGAACAGGGCAGTGTGCTCCCACTTCCCCCTGAATGATTCAAAACTCCCTTCCTGTGGCTGACTGAGCTGTGGGACCACTGGGAGAAGAGAGCAGAGAGGTAAACAAGTGGAAATTGGGTATGCTGAGGTCATCACTCACCCCCTCGTAGCACTGGCCTGTGTTGTTATCGGAGCTGAGCTTCCTCGGCCTTCCTTCCAGAAAGCCAAGAGTAACAGGAGAGCTTTTCACACGCCTTCAGTGATGGCGGAAACCTGTGGGGAAGGCAATGAAGTGCTGTGGAAAGAAAGAATCAGTGTGTCAGCTCAGTTTGTCTAGCGCACACTTGGGGGTTGTGGACATTATTCCTCCAAAGAATATACCTCTCTCTCTCTCTCTCTCTCTCTCTCTCATATGTAATTTTAGGTAGATATAAAGTAATGATTTCTTATTTATTCTTCAAGTATCCTTGGTGATATTTATCCCTCCTGCCTTCCTCTTCTCTACTACTGCTTTGATTTTTAGATGTTTGATAGGAAACATCATGAAATTAATTTTTAGTAGTTCATTGAATACACGATAGCATGTGCTTTTTAGACAGTCTCTGGTTACCAGGGATACTTTGTCCTGACCCTTTTCTTATTTTTACTATAGTCAGTCTATGGTTTACAAAATGACATCCGAAGCCACAGTCCTACCCACACACCTACACCAGAAACCAAGCCTCCAACAGAAGACGAGCTGCACCAACAGGTACGCCCACCTGTGAAATGGCCAACTGGGGGTTCGTGGGACAGCAGCTATGCAGAGGAGAGAATGAGCATTCATACTGGGTGGGATCTGTACGGTTCTTTGTATGTTCAACTGCTTCCTAGAGATTTACAATGGAAAGGCAGTGGGAGCTAGTCATGGTGGCACGTGCCTGTAATCCCAGCTTGCAGAGGCTGAAAGTAGGAGGATCAAAGTTTCCGGGAGAACTGTGTTTGAGCACAGACTCTGTCTCACAATAAAAACAAACCAACATGTTCAACAAAGGGGCAGAAGTAAGTGTAGCTCAGTTGGAAGTGTGTTTGCTTGGCCTGTGCAAGACCTTGGGGGCTAATCTCCAGCAGTACTGTGTAATGTGCATTGATCTGATTCTAAGACATGATCCTTGAAACATATAATACATGGAAATGCTTTTCAAAACTCTTCACTAATTTTTCCCTTCTTTGCCTTCAGACAATTTTTGGCAACCATGCACCTGCCTTAGAGGTGTCTGGATCATTGAGATTGCTCTGTACCCTAGAGCTGTGTCTTAAAGGAGTGGGCAGCATCTTAGCGACAGAGTCTTATTTCCCACATGAGCTGATATGATCACCAGAGAATGTGGGCGTTTCTGTTTCTGCAGCCCTAATTTCTCTAACTTTTTGAGGTTTGGCATGATCAATCCTCGTGTGTCATCATGACCTGCATGTTCCTTTTTCAAAGTTAATTTGTCTCCAAGAAATATTTCAAAGCCAGTGCCAAAGTCTCCTATCAAATCATAGTTGACTTAATCAGAGGGATGATCCTCCACTTTTGATTATTTTCCCTAATATTTTACTGCTCTGTGCTTTATCAATATGTTAATGTTAGTTTTTATGCTGTATCTATAATTACCATCAGGAAAAAGTAGTTTGGGGCTTCTTTTCTAAAGTAGTTTTATCATGTATTTATATCTATATGGGCATGTGCCACAAGCTGATAAAATTACTTTCAAAATACATAATTCTAATCCTTTCTTTGGATAACACAAGGATGTAAAATTTATTTTAAAATTATGGTAACCAATAATACTCCATTTGTTTTATGAGTTAAATCTTTGCAGAGTAATTGGATTCTGAATCTAGTTGTTTGTCAAGAATGTTTAAAACCCAACATAGCACTTTTCAGATAAAGTTACTTTTTTTTGAAGCAAGCATTGAAATCAAATGCATTGCTGTTCTAAAGTTATACTGGTTATGTTTACATTCAAATAGATTATATATTTTCAACCCTTTCAGAGTTTTCTGCTTTCGCATTTTTCTAGCTTTAGCTTTTTTTCTAGAAGGGACTCAGCGGGAATTGGAATTTAGAGTAGAGAATCAAGATGCCCTGTTTATGCAACGATGTCTTCAACTTTTTTTTTTTCAGATAAAATACTGGCAAATACAGTTAGATAGACATCGATTAAAAATGTCAAAAGTTGCTGATAGGTAAGCATTCAAGATATCACTGCATTCCTTATTTTTTAAAGAAGTGTTTATTTTTATTTTATGTGTTTGTGATTTGTCTGCATGTATGTCTATGCATGTGTGTGTCCGCTGCCCATAGAGGACAAAAGGAAGCATTGGATCCCCTGAAACTGCAGTTACGGATGTTTGTAAGCCACCATGTGGATTCTGAGAATCGAACTCAAGTCCTCTATAAGAGCAGCCAGTGCTCTTAACCACTGAGCCATCGCTCCAGTCCCACGCTATAAACTTTAAATGTCATATGACAGCTGTGTTGAAGATAGTAACCAAGTGGTTGGAGGCCAATGAAAGTAAATGTTGAAACATTTGCTGGACTATGTTGTATTATTTTTGCCCATGAAAAAAAAATCTGAAGAAGTCTCTCATCATAGTTTAAAGACAATAGAATAATGATTATCTTACATTTCAGAAGTCCAATCCTTGTGAAACCAAGAATCTGGTTGATGGGAGTGGCTTCTTCTCACTCCTGATAGAAACAAACCTATTAACTTATCTTTTCCTATTTGGCAACCTGGTGACTGTAAATTCACTAAAATTCATAATGAGTTCTTCTATGTGTTAAGAACTTGAATTAAACTCAATTTTAGATTTACCTTTTCTTAATTAAAAAATCTGTGTTTGTGAAAATAAAACATCATATTTTCAGTGAATTAAAAAACTTTTAGTGGCTTATGTTTTTCCAATGTGGATTCTGCTAACAAACATAAACAAACATGGGATATTATAACCTTCCCTCATTTCCTTCCCCTTCCACAGAGGAAGTGACTTAGAAAATAAAAGTCTATTCTTAATAAAAATATATGCTGTTTGCTTAACGAGTCTCCCAATTATTCTTTTCCAACTTTACTCCATCTGCTTACCTTTTGTTTTTGATAGGATTCTTTTAAAAATATTAGCTAGGGAGTCCTATCTATATTTGATGCAAAATTTGTCTTCCAATCCTTTCTCCAACTTGGCCACCATCTGCACTGCTAGGAATGTGCTAGCTAGCCAGGATGGGAATGACGCTCAGTACTTACTGCTCAGGCAGAGCTGGCCATGTAGTTTTTACAAGAGCATACTCGCTTCCATATTCAGGCTGGAAGGTAGAATCCTCAACCACATCTGCCTGCCAGATGTAAGTTGTTGCCTGCAGGATGTGGAAACATAGAAATTGCTGTTGGATTTCTTGCTGTAAGTAGATGTGGATTCCCTGGCCATCCATATTCATGCTGTTTTCCTTACTTTGAACAAAGTATTATTTCAGGTTGAAAAATGAAGCTGGAAATGTTTTTTCCCTCTGTTTTCTCCCTAGTCTACTAAGTTATACGGAACAGTATGTAGAGTATGACCCGTTTCTTGTGCCACCTGACCCTTCCAACCCATGGCTCTCAGATGATACTACCTTCTGGGAACTTGAAGCAAGGTAAAGATGTGCTCTCTTCCTTTCAAATATGTCAGTTACTTAAGAGCATGTGTGTGAAATAGCAGAGTCAGGAGCTGACTTCTTGTAAAGGTGATTTTGCTTTGCTTTGCATCATCCATGATTTATCATTCTGAGTCAAAAAGAGACTTTAGATACAGGCTTTCACCCTGAGATCTGGCCTGCTTCTAGAGCACTGTTCTTTTGTAGTGAGAAGGCCACTTGGCCACTTGTTCATTTCCTGGCCTAGACCCCCAAAATAACCACAAAGAAACTGTATTAATTAAATTACTGCTTGGCCCATTAGCTCTAGCTTCTTATTGGCTAACTTTTACATATTAGTTTAACCCATTTCTATTAATCTGTGTATCGCTTGTGGCTGTGGCTTACTGGCTAAAGTTCCAGTATCCATCTCTGGTGGCCACATGGCTTCTCTCTGACTCCACCTTTCTTTCTACCAGCATTCAATCTGTCTTCCCCACCAACCTAAGTTCTGTCCTGCTATAGGTCCAAAGCAGTTTCTTTATTTATTGATGGTAATCACAGCATACAGAGGAATCTTACATCATTTTTCTACCAGAAAGGATGTAATCTAGTCATTCATGGCAACCCAGATGGAACTGTAAAACACTATGTTATATGAAATAAGTGGCTTACAGAAACAAGAGAACCATGCGATCTTACAAAATATAAAAACCCAGGAAGCTGAGAGTAAATGGTGGTTACATAGGTTAGGAAAAGTAGAAGAGAAGGGGGCATAAGGAAAGGCTGATCAATGAACATTAAATAACAGTCTCATGGGATCTAGGAGCTCTAGTATGCTGTATGAAGTAGGGTGACTGCTGATATCTATGTGTTGTGTATTTGAAAACTCTAGACAAAGGGATCCTGAATACCTTAGAAACATACTGCTTGAAAAGATGTATTTACCCTGATTTAAACATTACACAATATGCATGTTCCAGAATATCATGTGTGTGTGAGTTTTATATATTCTAAAACTTTAATTTTTGAAACAAATTTACACTGCTGAAAGAAAGAACTGACCCAAAATTAGGGGTGACATTTTAAAGGTAGGTTATTCAGAGTTCAGATCCATCTTTTTTTAAGACTCAGTCCCTGCTAATAAATCATTTGAAAATGCTTTTAGTCATACAGGCTTGTGTTTAGGTAAAATGGATGCCAAACCCTCACTCAGTTAAGCCCAGGACAAACACGTCTATATCAGCTTCATTTGAAAACTAGATAAACTCACCATGAATACAGAGAAACTGACTTTTAAAAACCCAAGCATAATTTAGAACTCCATATTTCTTTGGTGAGCTATGTGGGGAGTTGCAGCATCCATCTTGAGGCTCATTCAGAGGTGGTGTCATGTATCTTTACAAAGACAGCATAACTATTCAATAGCACTTCTGTTTTGTTTTGCTTTAGGCAGGGTCTCCTGTAGCTCATGTTGACCTTCAACTCATTATGTAGCTAAAGATGACACCCAGCTCCTTAGCCTTCTACCTCTTACCTCCTTGTCACTGGGACTACAAACCTGTGATATCACACAAGGCTCCAGGTTGTATTTATGAGCCATCTCTTTTATATCCAGCCATATATCTCAAATATTTACCAATTCAGTCTTCAGTCACAAGTTTTGTACATATATATGAGGAATCTGGAACCCCCCAATCCATGACTAAATACTGTTCATATTTTATTGTAACAGAGTCATATGTAGAAATGAGGCCTTTTCGGTACAAATGCATCATTCCAAGAATGACTAATGCCAGACTGGAACTGTGTAGTGGATGAAATAAGGCTCTGGGTAATAATGGCTGGATTTTTGCCCCTTATTTCTTATATAGCAGTATCACGTTATAACTCTTTATGTATCGGCTTTTTCATCTACATAAAATGAGGGGGAATGCCAGTCTCATAAAGTTGCTATGAATCTGTCCAGACTCTTAGTTACAGATTGTGTTATTAATCTAATTTATACCTCCCCGTGATTGCATGAAAAGTATATCATCAGTGATATATTACTATTCTAGAAGATAAGCTAAAGACAGTCATTCTTCTAAGGTGTGTATTATGTATGATAAAGAAAATAGGAATTTGCCCAGGCATAGTGGCACATGTCTTTAATCCTATCACATGGGAGGCAGCAGCAAGTGGATCTCTGTAAATTCAAGGTCAACAGGGTCTACACATGGTGAGTTCCAGGTAAGACAGGGCCACACAGTGAGACCCTGCCCCACCTCAACCCCCCCAATGGAAATTGTAATAAAAAGAATATATTTATTCTTATTTTCTCTCCAACAGCAAAGAACCAAGTCAACAGAGAGTAAAACGATGGGGTTTTGGCATGGATGAGGCATTGAAAGACCCAGTTGGGAGAGAGCAGTTCCTTAAGTTTCTAGAATCAGAATTCAGCTCAGAGAACTTAAGGTAAGACACAGTTTGTCATTATGAGTTAAAGAGCCACTTTTTTTTCTAGTTATTCTAGATGTAATACACCTGTTGCTCTCATATTATCACAAAATTATGTAAACAAATTTCATCTCTGACACTAAAGATGCAAGAAAGATAGCAAAACAAAAGTTATCCAGCATTATCAGTTCCTTTTCATAATTTATTTTCATGCTTCCTCTGGATTTGTTGACTACAAAAATTTAAAACTTTTGAAATTGACACCATAAAAATTTACAATCCCAAGCCTGATATTCTGACAAAATGGAAAAGGTCTCTATCTATTGAAATAGGAGTGGCGGGGCTGTGTCCCCAGCACCCCAGCCGCCTGCTAGCATATGCCCGAAATAACAACACATAAATTGTATTCTTTTAAACACTGCTTGCCCATTATATCTAGCCTCTTCTCAGCTAATTCTCACACCTGGACTAGCCCATTTCTAATAATGTGTGTAAGCACCCCAAGGTGCACTTACCGGGAAGATTCTAGCCTATGTCCATCCTGAGTTGGAGCTTCATTGCGTGTGTCTCTGAGAGCAGAGCTATCTCGCGTCTGTCTGAAGAGTCTTACCTCACTTCCTCTTCCTCCTGTTTACTCCTCCCACCTATGTTTTAACCTATCAGGGCAAGCAGTTTCTTTATTTAATTAACCAATGACCTTCCTCCATCAATTAGCTAAATGTGTTATAGATCCAATTGCAGTTTCTATTGAGTCATGCGGAGTTAAGCAACAGAATAATTAACTCAGCACAGTAATGATATTGAAGGAAGTAGAACTTTGTTTAGTGGTAGAAAACTGACTTAACAGATGGCAGCTATTAATCCTGAAATCTCAACCTCCATTTTCCTTGTCTGGTTACAACTTAGTACCTGTATCTTTTTCACCAACTTTTTACCATAATCATTTTTGTTGTACTCTGGTCCATTTGTTTTCACAACAGATCAAAATGAAGATGAGTTTGTGTCTTAGAAGTGTACTTTATCATGAATGGGTGTTGTATTTTGTGGAAGGTGTTTTAGGAATACAAGGAACATATATAAACACAATAAAGGCAATAAACAGCAAGCCAACACCAAACTACTGGAGAGAAACTCAAAGTGATTCCACTGCAATCAGGAACAAAGCAACATTGTTCACTCTCTCTTTATCTAATCAATAAAGTACTCAAGTTTCTAGCTAGAGCAATAAGACAACAAAAGGAGTTCAAGGAAATACAAGGCAGAAAAGAAGTCAAACTTTCAATATTTGCTGATAATATGATAGTTTACATAAGTGACCCCAA